GCAAGGCAGCGGTGTTTGGCGGGAAATGCAAATGCATTACCATTTCTACGGAACAAGTCGCCACATGTTCCAACTCCCAACCTGGAGGGCCAGGAGACTGTGTTCGTCAGACCTCTAACCATTGACCAACCTGGTATGAGTGACTCTGTGAGTGTCGCGGGACACTCTCCAGTATAGCTCAGTGGATCGCTGAGGTGCGCAAACCGTCACACCACGATAAGTTCCAGTCTCTTCGTGACGGATCTGCGTGTCATCCGGTGCCGACATCCTCAGTCATTTCGAAATTAATCTTCAAGCCTCGACACCTATTCTATCTGACCGCCTTCAATGTCCGCAATCCGAAGCAAACAGGTCAACAAGCTGCTCTTGCTTTCACACTAGACCAACTTGGTATTGATGTTCCTTGAGTTTCAGAAACAAGAGTTCAAGATGCAAGCACACTAGTTGAGCTAGTCGCCCCGTCAGTTTCCGCTTGTTTCCGGCTTTGCATCTCTGGCGATTCAGAGGCTGCTACAGCAGGATTTGCATTGGTTGGTATCGTCCCAATTCACCTGGTGGAAGTATCGTTGTTTGACTGGATACCGGTTGATAGTCGCTTGTGTGCGGTTCGTCTGGCAACGTCTGTGAAGGAGTCTCACAATGGGGAAGTTGGTCGATATCTGTGTCTACTTGCATTCCGACTCACGGTAGCTCTGATAACACTAAAGACATGTTTTTTTACTCTCTGAATGCCCCGTTGCGTCTAGCGAAAAGCTAAGGTATCGTGGTGGTTGCCGGAGATATGAATGCCAAAGTGGTCAGGCTTAACATATCTGAGACTCAATTAGGAGGTCGACATGCATTGGACTCGGTACATACGGACACTGGTGGACGGTTGCTTCACCTGTGCGCTGATCGAAGCCTGTTTTTTATGCAGTACTAACTTCCGAAATAGCCGAAGTCGTCTGGCTACATGGTGTCCTCCAACGGTATGCCGGCCGTAAACTCAAATCGATCACATTGCCATCACTTACCGATGACGCGGACCAATTACTGACTGCCGGTCGTTTTGGGACATATCCGCGGATTCCGACTTCTTCCGGAGTCGCTTCACCCTACGTTTTCCAGGGCCGCGTAAGGTGCGAGCCAATAACTTGGCAACTGAAAGACGGGCAGATCCGGATGTTGGACAAAATTACCAGAATCGTCTTCTAGAGTCTTCCAAAGGCTCCACCATCAGATGCGAGCTCATACTGGGACGAGATTGCAAACTTTTTGCATAATGCTGTGAATATCACATGTGGCACGACATCACCAGGCTCACTCAAGCACTGGATATCAGACCAAACAGCGGCACTGTTTAAATCTCGGAGAAATATCTCAGCCGGTCCCGAACATAACTTGATACGACTTATTATGAGACGTCAGGTGAGAGTGAGCGTTCAAGACGACCGTAAAGTGTGATGGATACAGAAAGCCAACGAAATAGAAGAGGCTCCGTAAGCTGCTAACATCCGAAGATTATTTCAGTTGATCCGTGTGACCGGTCCCCGGAAAACGCCTTTTAGCGAGACCACCAAGGATATGAAGGCAGTGACCATCTCGAGTAAAGAAGAACGCCTCGACCGTTGGCCCGAATACTTGGAACAACAGCTATCATGGCCACCCGCTGTCACTCTTCTGGAGTCCACAGTTGATGTAGAACCTCTACGTTGAACTTGAAACTCCTTGCGATCTCGGAGGTTTATGACCGCATATGTTCTATCAAGCGCCACCGAGCTTCTGGTGCAGATAACTTCCTACACGCATTGTTCAAAGATGAGGGTGAAAAGCCTCACTCAGTTCTTGTCTGAGCTGCTTGCCTGCATTTGGGTAAGGGAGACCGCTCTAAACAACAACAGGAGAGTCTGTGATAGTGCCCATTTAAAACAAGGGACTCGTAATAAGTGTGGTAACCACATGAGGATCAGCTTAACCCGGTACTTTCCAAGCAGCGTGTCATAACAACGTTTCAGACAACTGGCAGAGAATAAGGCATTGTTTTACATAGCTGAACGTGGTAAACTCAGACGACATCTTGCTGTATGCGTGTACATGCTCGATAGAGTTGATATACAATGGCGTTCCAAGATATAAAATTTAGGGAGCGTATCTTTAGTCGCCAGATAACGCCTTAGTTTCTGGTGACTGACAGTGCCGAATGCAGTCTTCAAGTCAAGAAAGATGATCAGTATTGGGTATTTGAAAGAGTGGCGCTTTTTGAGGACCTGTCAAGATAGCGGTATGTTCAGCACCTCCGCCAAAGCGAAATTCAGCTTAATTTTTGCCTCTACCTTAATCAGCCTCTAACGCTAATCGATCAACCTGCGGAAAATATTGTCAGGGACCACCTTGAGTGCCACGGCTACTTGGCCGATACCATGGTGGGTTTCGCACAACGTTCTTAACCCTTTTTGAAGATCGAAATCGCGTTTGAGACGCTCTGTCCCACCGATGTTCTATTTTCGGTCTAAATCTTCTGTAGTAGGGCTTCATCTTCGAAGAGTGTGGAATGTTAACCATTCAGGCCGGGTGCCTTGTCGTGTTGGAGGCACGGACGCCGGAGTTCTGTTGATGTTGACAGGCTGCTGTCGATGCCTCTTCAACGTTCTGGGTTCCTTCAGCAACTTTGTTGAAGGAAGCCAGCTGAAATGTTCTCTACCGCCCAAAACATTCATTATACGAATGAATTGCGGTTCCGTCTTTTTCGCAAATTGTCTCGCTGACACCCATCCTCTTTTGGCCGCCTGATCGGGGCGGCTGAAGTTGGCACAACTGTTATCTGCAGCGCAACCGTTCCCCATATCATGGGCCTTCGCAATCCGCCAGGCATCTTTGTCATTCTGTAAACCATTGATTGTTCGGCATTTGACGGATCTGCGTGCGCCATCGTGGTCGGCAGCTGCTGGTAAGACAACCGTAAGGTCTGCTGATCTTGACGAAAGTCACTGTTCGTTTGGTCAAGTCGGACAGACTGGAAAGACGGTTTTAAAGTTTCCGGGCATAGCTTCTTTCGTTCTTCCGTTCATCCTTTCACTAATCTTTGTCGTTTGCTGCGTTTCCAATAGCCTTCCAGCCAGATGAAATCGACGTTGTTGGGCTGCTGAAACTGGTTTAGTCGGATGATTGAAATAACAACCGGGCAATCACACGGGGCGAATACGACTGTTTGCTGCAATCCAATCCAGTAAGACGTTTTCAGTCTTGAGGCTAAGGGCAACTTGTAGTCCCTAAATGCGACGATCCGTTCACTTAGCATCACCAACTACTCAAAAAATTCAGTGTAAAGCGCTCGAGTTCGTCCTAAGCGGTTTGAGGTGCATAACCAAACTGGGGGCTTGTATACTTGTTTCGGAGATGCAATATACACTATATGCACTGCACACAACGACAGGCAAACTTCAGCTACTTAGTTTGGCTAAGAAATGACAGCATGCACGACTCTAGAGTGGTTTGTGTGCCATTTTCTGCAGGTTATCCAGTTACGTGCAAGGAGTATCAAGTGAGCTCCAGCCAGCACTCCGTATATAGCACTGTATAGTTTTCGTTTCACGAAGCTTTTGCCAGCAATCGCTGCGTAGATGGCATTTGGACATAATAATAACTATCTCAGTCAAGGAAGTCTAATCTGCTGATCCAACGATTTTGATTTGTTAATGAGTCCTATGCATTTTTTATTTGCGTACTCGGTGCAACCAGCTAATTCTTGGTATGCTATAGAGTCACCGGTGATCAAAAGTTCGAAGACGCTCAAGGTTCCCAAGATAGAGGGACCAAGCCCCGCAAGCGTAAAGTCCTTACAGTGAACCCGTATACGTTGTGGGTTTCGGTGAAAGTCACTTCTGATGTTATAAATGACGCAAATTTGTGAACGCGGCCAGTGCCTTCGTTACTCGCGTAATGACCCTATCTGTTGTAAAATCACGGTCTACTCAGCTGTAAAGAGAAACGAACCGATCGACGAGCTCAAGCTCTTCATCATTAAGTTCCAGAGAAGCACAAAATAGTGGGGATTATTGAAGCGAGAATCCGCACTTTAGAGGTGCAAATAACCATCAGCTGTAGTACTCTTTCGATACCTAACCGCCATGCCACCAGAGGGAAGCGCGAGGACTGGGATACTGTCAGGTTGCCCAAGCCTAGACAGGGTAAGTCGAGAGGCAGAGGTCGGGTCCGAACCACGAACCTCCTGGTAAGTAAATTCGCGCTCTATCCACTTAGCCATCTCGCCCCTTGAAGGTGCAAAACTCATGATAGGATATGGAGCACCTCCAGCATCCTGTTTCACCAGTTTCTCCTTTCCAATTCATGTCTGCGCTGTAGCTTTCCTCTGATCACCCCATAAGCGAAAGTCTTCCCGGATGTCCGCACCAAACCCATTACTGTTATTGGTTGTTGATCAGGTGTCTGTTGATCTGTTCGCCGAACTTGGCAACTGGCTTGCAAGCCACACGAACTGTAAAGTCACACGTATGATATATCTGCAATGCCCTTCATCAGTAGCTCTTCCCTTTCAGCTCCAATGTTTCTGAAACCGGTGAACATCAAGTCGAACTCTAAGATCAAAGCGTCTGAAAGGTTAGTGAACCTTTGGAGATAAACGTTCTTTAGGAAACAGGTGTTGGATTCCTTTCGGGCTCAGTACAAACTTGAAGTGAATGTTCTTCCTACAGCCCTAAACTCAGCTAATGTTTTTCGTCTAAAACTTGCCACGTCCGAGTTATGCCATGTTACTGTGCTCAAATACGATGACCATCCTCTACTCATAGAACACGAGAATCGCTTAATACCCACTGTATTCCTCTTGTGGCTTATCCCTGATCTTTTACCGAGCTTCACAACCCACGAAAGTCTTATTCCGAAGCTTGCTTCTGGAGCAGGTTTGGCATTTTGACAGCATTATACCATTTTTCTCAGACCTCATGCTCCCTGGACTTGTGCTGGATCAGCCGTTGACCCCGAAGAGTTTCGATGGGATTGAAAAGGGGATCCTGTGTTCCATCATTACAAGCTCCAACCGGTCAGTTGACTTTCGAAGTCATTCTTACTTTCGTTCAGTGCCCCGTTTGCCGTTGGGCATACTGCCATGTCCAGTTACGATATGTTCATGAGCGGTGGTCGAGGAAAAGTGGTTATTGTTTACCACATTATAGGTGACAATATCTGGTGAGTTGGATTCTCTGACTTCGTGTTCCCTCTTTCCAACAGGATAAATGATTCGACGACAACTGTGCACAGTCGCATCAATTTTGCATTCCTTACGTAGCTATCATAAACTGATTTTGTACATAGCGAGCCATTTTTCCATAAAAGTATCAGATTCTTTGCCATCCAGAAAAACCAGCTGTAGTGGAACATGCCACCAGTTTGCAATAAAACTCCGGGCTGCAATGACCATTCAACTTACGCCGTGCCACTTTGGTGAGCTTTTATTGCATTCAGGACGTTTCTGAAGCCCGCGTTTAAATGGGCACCCGTATCAAAGTAGTCTACTTCTTAGTCCGTGTTCCCAATGAATGAACATAGTAGCGGTTCTTCTATTTTAAGGTCAGAGTGTGCATATCCAGCTAAATTACGATATTCTTGCAACATACATTACCTCTGGACGACGAAACTATACACTTTATGGTAAGGTGAACCAGTAAGAAGGATATATTTCACAAAAAAGACTTCAGAAAAAAATTCCCATTTATTCCCTTCTGAGATGTTTGCATTGCATGCGTACATGGCAGTAAAGCGTCAGTGTCAACACTGATGTTGCTGTCTCTGATGATGATGGTCGCATAGCTGCTCTGTCTAGGTAAGTGAAACATTGCCCCTTTTTGTATTTTCCTCCAAAAGACGTACTACAATTGGTCATCTCCCTCTGTAAACCACTTTTTGTAGTAATATTAAGGGCTTGGATGAGTTCGCGACATTCATTCGTGCTCAGCAAGAATTTCGGCGGACAAAATGTCCCACAAGTGAGTGAGGACCCATTGTTAGGGACCCCTTGTAAGATTGATGGACTCGAATTGATTGAAACCATGAAACAGTGAGTGGGACATGGGAAAGAAACGGGTGTGTTGAAAACATAGCGAACGAAGAGTGCTCTGCAACCCTTCCTCTCCAAATTTCTCGAGTATTTTACCATACACAACCGGTTTCTGTCCATCAGGAAAACTGTCAGCCCGTTTCCGCTGTGTTATCAGGGCACATTAACGTTTGCCACTAGCGTTGATGTTGACTAGTTTAAATTCCATCCCATCCCATCCCACGGATGCGACTGTCTCATATATTGAATGTTGACCCCACATTGCTAGATGCCAATCTACTCCTGGTTTTTGTCTTTCGCTGTTCATGACGAAAGTCATGCACGGATATCGAAACGTTTAATGGTGAAATTGCCAACCCAACCAAATATCGATTTCGTCCTTGTTGAATACAGTGCAGCTATTGCTGACTGGATATTCGGCCTGCGAAAAAGTGTCTTACAGTCTCCACTGGTTTGACATTTCTGCAACGTTTTAACAATTGTAGACAACAGCCGATTCATGTTGGGATTCACACCAAGGTCCTCGGAAAGAAACTCGTCGATTTTGTGCACTTGGATACCTGATACACACCATGCTCACTCTGTTGATGCGGACGCCTTGCGAGCTACAAAGCAAGACAGGAATTCTGCTTGGGACACCAATGTTCTAGAACACGGAGTTTTGTATTGGACCAGCATGTGTAATTACAACGAGTTAGAAAAGTGAGCGGTGATCTAGAGCAGTTCAATGTTTTATATAACCCATCCAATCGGAAGTCGTAGCCTCAGACTATTTGCCCTAAGGTCTTGCCAACAAGTTATCTAACCGCGAAAGGAACAACGGACTTACGAGATGCTGCATTACGGGCAAAGATGACCTCGAATTTTAACGGGATGTTTGAAGTTGAAATGGATTTTTGTAGATCAACTTGAGTAGGGTGTCGAGCATCCGATAGCGTCCTCAGATAGAAAAGTCTGCTCTGCTCTGTTTTCCAGCGATGAATTGTGTCCATCAGAACTACGGCTCACAAGTAAAGCCTTATTGAAGTCTGCTCCATTGTATGGATATCAATTCTTTCTGTTTCTGCTGTTTAAACACCGCAACTGCTTCACAGCCCAATTGGCGTTTTTCGTCTGGTTTATTTGATCGTGTTTCTCTTTTTCCATCGTAATAATCTGACCTTGATTTGCCTTTTTCTACCAAAATTCCAGTTCACTGGGACCTTCTGTTTCGCGTCCTCTCTTGGTTGATCCAGCACATTCTTCTGTTTCGCAGGAAAAGTTAGGAAACGAAGCTACTACTGCATCCGAAGAAGAATCCCAACTTCCTCTGCACGTATCTTTGGGTGACCTGGAAATCGGACAAGACGATGCTGTAGGTTCGTCTATCCACTTGAGTTATTTCGTTCTGCGGTCTCCCCTTTTATTGGTCACACAGTGTCCCACCGTGTGGGCTTTATTACACCCCTCACCTAGTTCAAACACACCACGGTTACGTCAGTATTATGAAGAGGCGTGTTGCGTTTAGATTGCTCCAAAATTATACTTTGGCTCTTACGATATGGTTTGAGAACCGTTTTGCTAGTTGGTTGTCCCTTATTTAAACATGTATACGACCTTCTGCTTCTCTGATCAAGTCACCTTTCGCCAGAGCACCGGGGTCCGGCAAGTCTCTCTATATATATACATATATATATATATTATATATATAGCAGCTACCTTAAAAGAACTCAGAAAAGGTAATAGACCAAATTATTAAACAATGGTTCCGAGGAAACGAACCATAACTTGTATGATGGTATTCACTCTGAATGAAGCGTCTTGATACAATGGACAACTGTTCGTTGAATTTCTCGTCTCGTTCAGTAGCAAAGATTTTTCCAATCCCTCCAGTCCCGATATACTCAACCTACCTAATTCCCGTAGTGTCTGGAACTCTGCTCAGAGCGTGGGATATAAATAGTAATCTGCCTCGGCAGCTAACTCCGTGAAGACAGGGCGTCCAGGTTTTATCCTTTACGCATGAGTTGAGTCATTTGTTTTCCCCGTCTTTAATGAATCGTCGAATGAGTGCCGTATCAATATCTGGGGCGTGAGACTTATTTAAATCCCGTCTGCTGTTCACCAGTACGTGAGAAGTAGAGCTCGCTTGTGTTGGTTGAATAATTCATTCAACCCTCATAATAATTAATCAGCCACCTGAATATGAGAGCAGCATCCGACTATGTGGATCAGACAGTCTGATGGAACGGCATACTTAGAAGTGGACTGTGTGAGAAATATATACGAATACTTTAAGATAGACCCCATAGATGATCCAATTTCGTATCTGTTTTTCCACTCTCAAGCCACATCTAATGAACTTGGGTAGGGCTACTCGACATCCTCTTCATCTTTTTATCTTCTAAATGGACGATATCCTCTACACTGCATTTGAAGGCCAGGTGCTCTCTTACCTGCCCCATGTGTGTCGCAGTGACACTATGACAACGACACATGTGGTTAGATCTTGGAGCTTCTGTTGTATTTCGGATTCATAGGTAAATCTCGTCCTTGCCCAATCAATGGACATTTCTGCAACATTTCCCTCAAAACTCCTCCCAGAAGAGACTAACATGCATCCGATCAGCTCGTCTAAGCGGCAAACAGACGTCCCTATGGAAGGACACGTGTTACAAGTTCCGTAGACTCTTCCTTACTAACGCGAACCAAAACACGCTTGTGTGGCTTTTATTGGCAACTCTGTCCGTGTAAGTCACATTTTAAGAATGGAAACGAGATCACGAATTGAAACCTACTGGACAGCGTATATCATGTATAGAACAATCAAAGTGACACGTATACCAAATACATTGGCATCAGTTTTGTTTCCACAAGGTACTTTTCCTTGGTGCAAAACATGTGTCAGTCTGTCTGGAACGATTCCTCATTTCAAACCAGAACAATCATGCGCTGACACAAAAATGCGAGCCTATGAACTAACTTCATCCCCCCCATTGGTACACGTCTCCTCACAATACTGGTGCTCAAGGGCATTCATAGGAACCGTTAATTTGTATGTATGATGCGCAGCTTTTTCAGGCGAACATCACGAAGAAACGTATCACATCATACTATCCTTCCACTCGCGTATTAACTAATTGTAATGCAAATATCAGTCAGAAAGACTCGTTTCAGTGATTTGCCTCTGTTTTGCCACAAAACCGTTCCCTTGTCCTTTGCATCACAGATATGGATGACCTTTTCCGATGCTCTTTCCTGCGTGCACTAAAACTGCTCAAAGACAAACAGCTTCCGATGCCCGTGAATGTGTTTTATGCACAACACTTGTTGACACAAAAGTAAGCCTTTTACACGTAAATCGTCTCTTGTTCAAACTTGAGTACGGCACAGGCGCCACAAGACGTGTCAATAAAATCATCGTATTCCCCAGAGTACTGTGGTACAGATCTAAGACTGGTTTGATGTAAAGTGAAGTAATCTAGGAAAGAGCTCGCGAGGCGATACTTGAACACTTGATGTTCGGATATGGTGTATGTATTGTTTAGCATCGTCCGTTGTGCCATTTCATGTGTTCATGAACACCAAAATTTCATTTTGTAATTTTTACACGCAGTATGTGTGTTTGCTCGATTGTTTGTTGTAAAATACGTTGCCCTGACCTATATGCCTTCCGGTAGATGTGCTGTCCGCATCCGAAGTCGGCCGTAGACTTTTGTCTATGGAACGCGTCTTGAGGTAGTGAAGAGTTTCCAGACTTTCACTTTCAGCCTTGGCAGTGTTCCTTACTAATAGGAGAATCCGCTCCGAACGTAATTGGACTATACAACTGCCAATGGAATAACCGTTTTCGTTGCGACAGACTTAATTGGTTGTTCTTCACTTGCCCTTGAAGTATCACTTTTTGGTTCACCTGGAAATTTCCACGTAAGCTTTATTAGCAGGCCGTTTTCGGCTACATGTGACACATCTGTACGCGTTGTTCAATAAATCAGCCGGTTCGCATGTTCCTTAGCTTTGTGGTTTCGCTAGGCGCATCAGGCTATCAAGCAGCTGTCCAGACTCGGGTTTACGGTGTTAAAAAGTTATCAAGAAAATTGTGGTACACAACGTTTACTGATCACCTAGGGGGTCAGCCTATACGAGGTCACTTGATATGGATGCGGGCAGGCAAAATATGGGTGGTACCATGATATCCTGCGCAGCTTCAGTTTTACCACACTGTTTGTCACCCACACAATGCCACAGCTTTGGATCGTTCTGCCAAAGATCGCGGATTTGAATCCCGTCCAGGCTTGTTTGATGCTTTCAGACGAAGTATAACAGAAGGAAGTAAAAAAACGCCAGAGTCATTCAAGTTTGGTGACATTTTGGCGCGTAGCAATTCACAGTCACTGCGATAGTTGAGATACTCTTATCTTCACCAAGCTTAGACAGGGGTGATTCAAACATGAGGAATATCGTTTATACCTTTTTTGTCATTTTTGGCTTGTTTTGCTCTATACTGGACTCACGTTGCAATAAACTCTTCTTCAGGCCTCCAAAAATCGATTTGGATATCAAGAAAACTTCCTACAAAAAGGTTCGTTATTTCTATCGTTTCTCACCCGCTTTCCTTGAACACCATTCATGCAAACAGAACCACCAAAAGTTGCGGTGTTCGGACATCATTTGTTTAGCATCGTTTTCCGGAGTCACTACCATTTTCTGTGCCCATTTCAGAGTGATGGAACCAGAGAGCTGGCCATCCTTTGACTTGGTAGTGAGGTGTGGAAGAAATTACGAAAAGTGTAGTTACCGTCCGTGCAATTCGCCTTCCAGGATAGGGTCCGCGTGATCCGCTCTGTACATGGTCGAACGCGCTACAATATGTGGTCGCTAACTGATGTTATTGGTGTTGTTGCTGTCAGTGTCTACCCAAAATGTGTAAATGAATGCCTGCAGGTGTAGGAGTGATTGTAGCGGACTAGCGCAAAGTCCCTTCCTCATTCACTTTTCTCTTCACGCCGAGGCGTCAATTTTGATGACGATTCTTCCACTTCTAGTCCTGTGTGGATTTGGAAGTCTTTTTACCCTGGTGTGGATGGTGTTTAGGCAACATCGCAACCTATCCCTCGTTTGGAGCGTAATCCTATGAGAGGAGCTCCCGTACGATATATATATATATATATATATATATATATATATCGTACGGGAGCTCCTCTCATAGGATTACGCTCCAAACGAGGGATAGGTTGCGATGTTGCCTAAACACCATCCACACCAGGGTAAAAAGACTTCCAAATCCACACAGGACTAGAAGTGGAAGAATCGTCATCAAAATTGACGCCTCGGCGTGAATAGAAAAGTGAATGAGGAAGGGACTTTGCGCTAGTCCGCTACAATCACTCCTACACCTGCAGGCATTCATTTACACATTTTGGGTAGACACTGACAGCAACAACACCAATAACANTATATATATATATATATATATATATATATGGGAGAACTTGGTCTATGAGCGTCAAGCGGAATTTCGACCGAGTAGGAGCTGCAAAGTCCACGCGATCACGCTACTTCGGGCACCAGAGCAGCGCCACCTAAACGAATGATCCACAGTCTTGTTGTCCTTTGACTTCGCACGTGCGTTTGACTCTGTCGATCAGTCAGTTCTTTTAATCATACATGTTGAACGGGGATGCTCCAGAAGTTCGTGAACACTATCTGGTCCCTATATTCACTACTTCGGAGATTGCGAGTGTATGGGGAGCTCTCCGAAAGACTCCCTACTTGTCCGGAGGCCAGCTGTACCTAATAACCGAACATCACATCATTTGGATGGATGTGTCACTTGCAGGATATGGACCAAACGAAGGTATGCCCTGATTGGTCGGGATGCTAACCAATCCGTACCGAGCATCCTTGACTCTACACTTCTCACCCCCTCACGGGGATTCTAGCACAACCTCGTGGAACACTCTGTGATTACCCTATACATACTATTGCAATAATTTTCCTTCGTCTCCATAAAGGGCTGTGTAGAGCTACCGTGCCTTCTGATATACCATAGTGGGCGGAGAAGGAAGCCGAGGGACCGGCACAGAGTTGCACTGCCGTTCAGCGAGTCACAATACTACGAAAACTGGTGCCCGACAGATATGTGCATTCCCTCCATCTTTGTTAAATTTCGTCATCGAAGAAATGATAATATGAGTGCTGTAGGATGCTCCAATTCACGAGGCGCTTCTGGTTGAGTGGCATCAATGAATCCTTAACGAGGTAATTAGAAAACGAATGTTCGGTTGTGCATTCACTATCCAGCGCCGCCAACTGCGGTCATTCAGCCCTTTGTTACACCGATTCGTCGTCTACCGAAGCTAGTATTGTTCCTCGTGCCTCCCTTTGTGAGACGCGGACTGCATGAGGCCACGTGTGACTCCGTATGAGAATGTTAAAGAGGTTATAGAAAGTGTAGGCGTTAATGGTGCGATCCGCCTTCCAAGGAGTCGTCTACTTGACCCTATATGTACTGGCTGGTGTCTAACATATGGTGAGTAACCTATGTTGGTAGAAATCACGCTGTCATTCCCCCCCAGGTTGTGTGGGCACCTCAGGGTGCTCGCGGCAGGTTAACCTCAGATCCCCACCATCCATTTTTTCATTTTAAGGCCTTAAAGATGGTACAACAAACTTTGTGGGATCTCATTCTCAGCTGTGTTTTTCCCGTATGTGGTGATAGTAGGTGCATCATCATGAATGTAAAGAAATGGGAATTGAACTCAGGTAATCTGAATATATGAAGGTGGTTGGGGCGACCTTCCCACGAGCGGCTGTTTGACTAACACTGACCATTACAAATTTTGGTGTTTCCCAAAGAAGATTCCCCGACAGCTGTGGAATCAGAAAATGTTTTCGTTTATTGGAATTCTTACGTGTGCAAAACACAACAAGGTCGATGTTTTCCGTCTGATAATGTTGACAGGGTCCTGGATAGTTCTTGTTCGTGGTTTTCCAGTTCCACGCGTACCGAGAATGGTTAGTAAAACTATAGTGCCTCTATTCAACGGCCTCCCACGTGTAAGCGCGACTGTTGCCGTTCTCTAAGAACACGTATGTGGTGCACATTGTAAGGAATATCTTCAATAAAACCGCATTCCTGTAAAGAATCGCGTTTTAGGCCACTCTGGAGTACTCTTGAATTGCCATGTTGGTGATGAATTAGATGATACCAACAGTGGGCTTTTGTGATTTGCAACCATTGATCGCTTTGTTCGTCAAACGCTTGAACCAAGAGAGTGTACTCACTTTGTTGCCGCTTTACTGTACGCATTGGCCTAAGAACTTTGGCTTACACGAAATGCTTATCTTGATTACACGTTTACTAGCAGTCGTCGCTAGATCGCTTTCGTTTTATTGTTCAGGTATTCTATCCTGTATACAACCATAGTTTCCGACGATCTGCAACTACACTAGTTTTTAGAGTACAGACCCGATCCTCCTTGATTGAAGTGTAGTGGTTTAGTCTGGATGGTTCATGAGTAGAGTTAGGATCTACGCACGCTGTTGCCTCACTCGCGCGATACCGGTGATACAGGGGTAAAATGCAGCAGATGCAGATTACTCCTTATTTTTCAGTAGTGTATATCCTCTGCTTGAACGACAGGCTCACTTGGAAAGTGGTGTCAGTTAAACCTCCAAATGTAACTATAAGGCACTAAAGGTACGTAATCTGGCTGCTCACCTCTTAGGTAAACTCTTCTGTGTGATAGATGCATAGTGTTGCAAGGAATTTACTCCCGTTTTAGGCGTAGTTTTTGTGGCACTAAATTTCTCACTGAGATCGCCGTCCACATTGGACCCAACCGTTGAAACAAGCGGATGAAACTCCAAGAATCACTACCCCTTCTTACTGTCCGATAGTTCCAAGTTAGCGACAGCTGGACGATATCATTGGTACTATTGCTGCCCAATCATTCTAGCTCTTGGCTCATCTCAGCTTGATCGGTAGTTTGGCATGGTAAGAGCGTTGTCATACGGAGGGTTGATCGTTGATTTACTCGTCGTGGTGGGAAGTTTGGTTTCAATCGTTTCATCACCAACCTGAGTACTATGGTCAGTTCGTCATGGTGTACTCGAGCTGTGCGGTGCGTCAGTGACGCCAGTGATGCAACCTGAACCATTAAGATTTGTCTCAATAATGGACCTAGAGTGCTGAAGATACAAAGCACGTTTATGCTGTACACGATAACTCAGTATCTGGCAATCATCTTCTGGCATTTATCTTTTTTCACCGTTCTTTTGTGACCAGGTAACAGGTTAATCATTAGTAATTCCATAGATGATAGGAACAGACTATTCTCTGCTGGCTTACGTTGATGCACTGGTATCCTGTCGAACAACATACCCCATTGGAACTGTCCAAAAGCGCGTTTTTCCCGTAGGTGCTCCCGAATTTTGAGACCTTATTTTGTTCGCACTTTTTCCGCGCAATTTATGGGACAAGACGTTAAAGAGTTGTTCTACCGGTTAACCAGAACCTCTTCTCAGCAGTAGGCCCATCTTACTTCAACAGCTGTCTTTGACAGCTAACTCAGCTTTCGTTAGCCAAACGCGAAAGCCGTCGAAATCGGTTCATATTAACTGCTCTCTCAGAACGATGATGCATCCTGGTATCCTATTAATGTGCTTCATCAAGCTGGTGTAATACTGAACTGAAATTAGTGCTTTCCTCTGATGTTTTTGGGGCATCCCAAAACTTGCCCCTTGCACTGAATGCCAGACTAGCTTCTCCCCGCTTCTCCTCCCATCTATCTCAGGTCAGTGTTTTCCTCAAAGCGATGCAGGATCAGGGCCTAGTGTCTCTGACTGAATCACAACCCGGTATTCTGACCCTCACGTCCGTAAATCACGATCACGATGCGTGAGTCACAATCTGTTTTTCACTTTGTCGAGTTTATTTCACCACCTTTTCATCACCTTTTCGTTTGTACTTATATCTTCTAGTGATAATGAAGTAAAGCGAATAATATGTAGGAATGGTGTAGTTATAGCACTCAACGTGCATATTATATTGTCGTTGTACTTCGTGAACAACCAGGCGGGTGCCACATTGGGCATACGCACAGCTGATTTCACGGATTTCGGGGGATTTACCAGCCGCCATTTAATAAACAATTCATCTGTACGGTGTGGCTTTAAGGTGTTATTTGGCGGTCTGTGTTTCGTAGACTGCAAACAGAAAGATCGTAAGAAGAATAGGATGATGCGCATTTCGTATGGAGGGTCGGCAACCACCCATTGCATAAATGAATGGATTCGTGTTTAGGCGTTGGTATAAACACCCAGTGGACTAAATTTGCTTTCCTGAGGTATGTCTTTATTTGGGTCTTTAGGGCTGAAATGACCTTCATTCACTCGCAATGTGTGGCTTGCCAACACTGTTTTCCTCTTATACCCGTTACGCACGTTCGTGCTGAAGGATTTCCGCTGCGATGCAACGGGTATATGAAGCCTTACAGTGTAACCCAGATTTTATACATCATTTACAGAGATAATCGTCGTAGCTTTTCTCGCACGCGATAGCCTTCCATTTGTAAGGGTTAATTAGATTTCTAAATTTCATGCCGGTGTCCACTGGTGTGTTGCGTCCGGTGTCCACTGGTGTGTGTTGCGTCCGTGGACAAATATATATATATATATATATATATATATATATCTGCGTGCAAAACTGACCGTTTCGTATTGCCACCTTACAAGCAACAATAATTTGAACAAATGCCCCCTGGTGAATGCCCTGATTCCCTCTAGTTTTGAAGGAGCTCTCTCTAAACCTCTCGGTAGGTAGGTGGTCGTGAAATCCTACACACGGCTGGCCAACTTTCACTCCGCTGATCGTTCTATCTGTGACTTGTTTGTCTGTACACCATACTTTTAGTTTTTCCTGTTCTGACAACTGACTGATACACTGGCTTCTTTCTCAATGAAGAGTGACAATTCCTCGTCTTTACGACGCGACAGTAATTAGGGATTAACAGGCGTTATCAGTCAGTGTGATACTTATATCAGTAAAAAATTAGGTGTAATGGTAAACCGCTTTGTCATCCTTCAAAGTGGTCTTCAGACCCTGTAGGTAGCGTCGCACGTGATTTTGGATCGAAAATACGTTTGAATGCAATAACAAGATGTCGGATTTATTCATACTTCCAGCCTTTGCAACGTGAAGGCCTTGAGCGAACCGAATAATCCAGTTTCCTCGAAGAAATCCACTGCAGACTGGCCTCCTGGGTACCACGGACCCCCAAATATTGAAGAGGTGCGAATCATTACGGGCCCTTCTTCGGCGCTGTTCAATCAATCTGGTTATGGGTTCGTTCAAAGTCTGTGTCCGTGTTACCTACACCTCGCTCAGAATCCTTTGCTCCCAACTTTTTTGTTTTATTGTATTGAACAAAATAACGAGGTTGGAGCTAGTCGTGTATCCCTATACCCCTTTGGCCACCCAGTTTTGGCAGTTTGATCACGTGGTTATATTGAAATTATCAGTTTAGTGTTCTTTTCTGTCGAGCCAAGTTTTACAGCGCAGTTATTTCGGCCATGTACTGTGGATTTCATCTATTTCTAAAGCGTTCATCGCTATTTCCCGATCTTATATGATGAAAACATCAGTAGTTCGACAGGCATGCAATACTCGAGTCGTAAGCGTTTTCTGGTCTTGTTTGGAGTGCCCAATCTGAGTAGGTGGACAAGCACATATGTCAGATGACCAGCTTCCATATCTCGGAAAATATTTTTTACTGGTGAGCCCTGCTGAAAGGTCTTGTTTTTCACTCGGAACGGACTAACTGCTGATTGACTGGTTCAACAAATCCCAATTAAGCCATACCAGTTTCGGTCTACTCCCAAGCGCCGTATAATCTTGATAGCAGTTAGCTACAGCTTGTTTAGCACTACAAGCGGTCGGACGAACGAATGTCTTTTGTGTGAACAGAACAACCTTAGGGGGGTTGGCTCGTAAGTTTTGAATCCGACGCATAGAAGTCACCCTACGTTTTTCATGATTACCTTCTTCAAATCAGGCCAATGTCGGTCTGTTTTTCGTCCCTGGACTCCGTCCCAGAATCACGTCCGGCTGTATTCTGCTATTCAAGTCCACGCACACAACCTTGTGTGGAACCTCTCTTGTTATTGACTTTTATTGTTATTTTGATCTTCGAAGTTGGCGCAATCGATTGGGAGGAAAACGAGAAACCAGGTAACAGACTTTAGGTGAAACTGCAATGATGTGGTTCCAATCTGTCGTATCGCTGGACGTTTGTTTTGTCCCTGGACACCATTCCATCATAACATGCAGTTATAGTACCTAAGCGTGAATCGGAGACTTTCTTATTGCCCCCTAATTTCATGATTTAACTAACAGTGCACCATCGAAATGCAATTCTGGTTGCTGATAATTACTTTTTGCTTTTGTAAACAATGGTCTATTGGTATACCCGTCTATTGTCATTGGTTCATACGCTCACATCCCTCTTTCCCACCGGTTCTTCTTGATTGGACCGACTTCATGCTTATATTTCGTTGTTACTATCAGTAATCGTGATTCCGTGCTCGAATTCAAGATCCTGTGTTTATATCCCCATTAATCCTCAGTCACACTCCCCTGTTCGACTTGTCTAATTCCTAGGCCCAATGCATGTATCTCCCAATCGGAAGTACGAAAGGTTGTCGATCAGTACGTTCGACAGCGGGGCTTACAACGCAAGGATGACCCTAGGTGAGTTGTCATACATTTTTTCGCTTCAAAATTTCAATTCAGTATTCTGTCACAAAAGGGTGTTTATCAAAAGTTCCCTTGCTTCGGAGTTCCATGTTTAGAGCGATGTCTGTAGAACTTTTGATCGCTCCTGCTTTTAGTTTGGATGAAGCATTCCGTATGCTCCTTTAGTGCATATGATTGTTGTATACCATATGGCGCCATGTAACAAGTGAGGTCTGATATTTCTGACCGCGAGGCAACACTAATTGTGGGAATTTTTCTTCTTGCCAACCCGCTTGAAGAAAGTAAATCATGGAAGCCATACAAAAAACACTTAGATCCTTGAGAGAACCACCGTCTGCCATCCGTAGGAACTTATCACCCGACCCTAATTAAACCCCATTGAAACAGACTTCTTGGAACAGGTGGAAGGTTTTGACCGGATTGCCCTGGAAGCCCCTTGGTTGTCATAACGCACTACCCGTTTACAAGCGAATCTTGTTACTGATAATGCTAGTTGGAGTGATGTGGGGAACGACAATGTCCCTAGCCATTGACGTGGCCCGTCTCGGGGTCCCCATCCAGGAAGACGGCAGTCACCAGCGCAGCTGAGTTTGCTGGTAACGGCTTTGATGCTTCGCTGCCAAGTCATTGTTTGACCGCCTCCGGCTCTCTTCCACCCTTCAC